CCCTTGCTTTGTGTGCAATCGTTTGTGGTGTGTTAGTTCATGCGTTGTGTGGTGTGGATGTACATGCAGTGGGTGGCTGGCGGTTTGACAGCTTATCTTGATTCTTGATTCCTAAAAAGGAGTCAATATAAGCGGTCAATATACCGGTAGGTGGTCAATATAAGCAGTCAATATTATTCCAATACAGGGAATATAGGACCAGCTATTGATCAGGGGGTTTAGTGCGGGTCAATACAAAAGAGCGATAACTTTCGATAGAGCTATTACTACCAACACAGTTCAACAACGAAACTACCACGATCTCTTTTTGCAACTCGGGGTTTCATCCGATCATCAGGCAACATCGACAATGGAGTTGCAGCACATGATAGTTCGCTAATAAGATGAAGGTGACTCTGTGGAAGGTGCGGATCCTAGCAGGTAAATGTTACAGTCATAGACCAGGTGAGGAGCAAAATAGTGTGAGTTTCAGGATCTATATTTTTTATCTTTTATCCGCCGGATGGCGGGGAAGAAACATATTATTATTGTGGTAGCCCATATGATTGGGCTGCGGAAGACTTAAAGGACATTTCAAAAAGGTGGGAGGGTGAAGAAACAAAGTAAGCCATGTTACAGATATGTACATGTAGTACAAATTCCGAGCTGATTATCGGTACATCCATAATGAAATTGTTCACTGTTATTCTCCCTCCCTCACCCATATAATATACACACAAAAACATATACAAACTTTCTCTCTCTCTTTCTCTCTCTCTCTTTCTCTCTATCTCTCTCTCTCTCTCTCTCTCTCTCTCTCTCTCTCTCTCTCTCTCTCGCTCTCTCTCTCTCTCTCTCTCTCTCTCTCTCTCTCTCTTTTCCACTGTCATCAACGGCGCGCTGTGTTCCAAAACTCTCCCGAGTCAGCCATACCTTCGTAGTCTGACTCCAAGCTCTCGTACTGCCGGCGGCGGTGCCGGCAATAGTACACCGAGTACGCTACTAAACTCAAGCAGAAGGCGCCCAACAACATCATGCCAACCAGGAAAAAGGAAAGTCCCATACGTTTTCTGTGAGTATCGGTGGCGTTTCGAGCGTACACCGTTTGGTGAGCGCTACGGATACTGGCATTCTCGTCCTGCACACGCTTCAGGGATGCAGCATCGAGGTTGCCCAGTGTGGTTCCGTTTCCGCTTCTTGTGCGGATGTTCTTGTTGTTGTCGCTGTTCGCCATCCACTCGCGACCACTTGTGGTGTTGCTGGTGTTCAGAGAGTTGTTAGCGGTACCCTGGCAGCAGTCGTCATCAGTTTGCCGATTCAGAGACAGTTGATAGGAGACAAGAGAAGCAATGATGTATGCAGCTACGGCCAATACAGCAATCACTTTAGTAAGCGTCCAAAGCGCGCTCTTGAAGTTCATGGTGGCGGCGCTTCAGCTCGAGCTAAGCGGTAGGTGTGGGTCGACGTCCCGGCGTGCCGAATATTCCATGTGATTTCCACTGCTGCTGAAGGAAGCCACTCCAGTCCACGTTAACCAGCGAACAACTATTGAAATTGGTTTGCAAGTAATTAGTTCTGGGCTCTGTTGGAAAGCGATGTCGAGATCAATCATTTACTTCACTACGACAGACTAAGACAGTATGAGTCTTTACTGCCTAGTAAGTAGTATTAGTACGTTTGCACTACATGTAACAACAGTCAGGTCTAAGCCTAAGCCAACAGTAAGGTAGTAAGGGTGGAGACTGAGCTTTGCATGCAACTCAGAGTTTGCGCTTCACCTTTATTCACCCCGTACCCCGCGGCATTACCAGCAATCATCATCAGATGCAGAGTCAGACAACATAGACTACTGAGTACACACTGATCATGAACATGTACAATGTAAATGTACATGCAGCGCACAAGAAAGTAAGCGGCATGCAGTAGCACTCGCCCCACACGGCCACAGTCTAGTACTAGTAGTAGTAGTAATACTATTAATAAGTATTATGCCATTCCAATGGTGCCGTGCAGCTACCGACGCATCGCTCCCTCCTCGCCCACCCACAAGTATTACACGCTGGACGTGACATGGAGCGGGGAGCAAAGACAAAGCGAAAGCCAAAGCCTTAGCCTGACAGCATGTCTGCTACAGTCTACACTATGTCTTACTCTTAGAAACCTCCCAACAGTCAGCACATCGCTTAAGGAGGCCTCGGCTCTAGGACGCCACCCCAGCTGGGCCATGGGTGGATGTGTAGTATATTCTGCAAACTCGAACTCGCAATGACTACTAGTATGTGAAGGTAAGGCGTCCTAGAGCCGAGGCCTCCTGAAGTACATGTAAGTCAGGCTTTGACTCAGTTTGACTACACATACATGTAGAACGTGGCACAATCACTCATGTACATGTACATGACCCATGAACCATGTATGCCATGTACCGGGTAATCGTCTGCATCACTATGGCATCCGTTGAGAGCGGTGCAGAGGTTGCCATGGGCATGCACGATCTTTGTTGCGTGCGAGCGGGGCAGTAACCTTGGTGACGCTGGACGCGCTATATGTAACACTAACACTAACAGTAACACTGTACTGGACTGGGATATGAGCTCAGCTGCTGCATGCAGGCCATCAGTCAGTCATCATAATAATTATTATCACTGCATCAGGAAACAAGCACGAAGTAATTACATCGCTATTTTCTTTCTCCAGACTTTTCACTGTTCCATCCCCTCAACCGGTGAGTATCGCTCATTGACTTGTCAGTTTGGGCACTCTGGCAAGGAACGTTCGGGCCTGGTTTAAATCTGACTTTTGAAAAAATTATTTTTCATTGCTATCAGGTTCAGCCTCATTTTCTCCGCACGGCGCTGATGAGTCATCAGCGCCGTGATGTAGGCCTTGACGGATTATGCTAGCATAATATTTCGCATAATTCCTACCAAAATCGAATAATCGCATAATTCGAGGCAAATTGCATACAAATCGCATAAAATTGGAATAATCCGCCTGTTCGCATCAAATTCCATACAGTTGTACATGTTCTACAAGTACAAGTACAGGTAGATGCACTAGGAAGTTGTAGGTTTACGACTCCCTTGATAACATGTCCAGTCCACTACAATCAGTGATGGCAAGAGTACTCTTGGTGATGGTCGTAGCTAGGTCGGACGGTGCGTTGACCCCGTTGAACTTTTGCTACTACAGTACAACGCCCTCTACAAAAAATTCCCCTGTTATTTTGCACAGAACCATTATGCATTAGCAGCATATGTGAGCATAATGCGGCATAATATGATAACTTTTAGCATAAAAATAGCATAATTCTGCAATTTTCTCAGCAATGCGAAAAGCATAATTTCACGAAAATATGAGCATAATCCGTCAAGGCCTACCGTGATGACCCCAGAAAGGACGAAAAGGTTCTGCTGGCAGATCCAGTACATTTCTGAAGATGTACAATCATGTTTTTAGTTTGACAGCATCAGGGAGTCGTAAAATACCAGTATTTTACGACTCCCTGGACAGCATAATTATTACCATCCCGTGGAACACCGTCAATACAAGGTTTCTCTGTACAATCTGAGTCATCTAGTTTGCACCCACTCTGACACCTAGGCTAGAGTAGAGAGTGAGCGTTCAGATTGCCATCCCGCAACCATGGCAACAGCAGTGCGATATGGACTGGAGGCCGCTTTCAGGACAGTGGTGCGCATCGCCAACAGGACTCCAAAATGATCAGCGGTATGAGCAACTACTTGCATTCAGTAGCAGACCATGATATCAAGAGCTTTGACGCCCTGCTCAACCCAGTACTGGTGAGTTGCCGTACCACAACACACCATACCATGCGGACAGGGCCGAGGAGTTGTTCAGCTTGACAAGTAGTTGCGACTCGCCAGCTTCACCGCCTTCACGTAGGTGTGACCAAGACATACAGACGTCGACCCTCACATCGAAAAGTATACAATCATGTAGTATGTACCTAGTACTAGTACTAGTACAGTAGGCCTAGGCAGAACAACAGACACCAAAAACTCACAAGTGACTGCGAGTTTCGTGTTTTTGAACATACAACTCCGAACACGTCACTGCACCGTCCGAAGACAGCAGATTTCTCTGGGGAGAGCGCTCTCCAAGCTGCGTGAGCTGACACAGGCTAGAATGTGGCTTGACATTGTTGACAGATGCGTCAACTCTGCTTCTGTCTAAAGCCTCTAGGCTCTAGTAAAGGTGCAGGGAAGATGCGGACTGCATGCATGAACCTGTGCAGGTACCTGTATCAGTGTATGATTGGACTACATAGTCATTGTACTCCTACTACTAAGTACTAGTCATGATTATCGATTTGTACGGCAGACTGCATGTATACAGTAGGTTCTCAGAGCCCCATGTACTGGCGATTGTCGTGTGCGTTGATTTGTCAGAACATGACTGTGTTCGGATTTCAGTACGGGCTTCATAGAGGAAAGTATGGGCGCTTTCGATTACACGTTTACACAATTCTGGAACTGGTTTTTTTTTAAATTCTGGAATGACCAGAATGAGCGGATTCCGGCCTTGTAAACGAACGACTGGAATTCACAACGCATTTTTATTCATGTCATGTTACAAACAAAATTGATGAATCGTAAAAAGAGATCACGTACACCCTCGCGCGCTTGAGTCATGACCGGACCGGTAACAATACATGGTAACACACCGACTGGCGCCAGAATTAGAGAAATTCCGCCCTCTCTTCAGAATTGACGGATTCGACGGAATTGGATAAAATCAATTCTAACGACGGAATTTGTCACTTTCTGTGTAATCGAACTGTGCATCAACAATAACTAATTCTAGAACTGACCGAAATGCGTGTAATCGAAAGCGCCCATTGAATGTCACATTCAGCGGTGACATCTTGCCAGCCCCAGTCAGCCCCTGGCTTGAAGGCTCAGTGAACCCCTACTGCGACGCCTGCCAGGGGGACACTACTACTACTAGTACTGTAGTAGCAGTACTGCGATGCCTGCCTGGGGGACACTACTAGTAGGCACTTCAGTCACGTGACACGACCTGTCAAAAAGTGCTAACGCTGAATCGCGTACATGCGTGGCACCACGGAAAGGCGCATGCATAGATCGATCTCTAGCTGCACGGAAGCTGCGCAGGGCCTTCTCGTGTGGCGCAGCGTGTAGCTGAGGCCCTCAGCTTTCGTTTGAGCCCACATACGTCATGATGCGGCAATTTTTTGAACTCACGTACAGTTCGAGTAAAATCGGCAAGGATTTTTCGGGCATTTCACTTGATTGCACGCATTTGCCATGTAGCTCATCGTCTTCAGCGTCGTATTTCCTTTCGGAATCAGTTGTCCTCGTTTGTCCAACACTTTGCGCATTGCTGCGCAAGAAGAAATAATGCGAGGTGTTATTGAAAGCGAGCCGCGACAGGCGTCCTCCCGGCAGTAGTCCTTGTTCGTCGGAGCCCATGCGCATGGCTGCGCAAGAAGAAATATTGCCAGGTGTTATAATTATATTGGAGTCGCATCGGAGCAGTCGTCCTCTCCTGCAGGCGACGAGTAGGACAGTATATACTTCGGCGACTGGACCAAGAGAGCTGACATCAAAACGGCCTGCTTGGAACAAATCGTCAGCTGATCAGCAGGTGGCTTCCAGCGACCAAGAAAAGCATTGACGGTGATATTATACCAAGAATCCAGCACACACTCTATGCACAAAATCTCTCATGCTGGAGTTGCTGAAGTTTCAGTAGTCCCAAACATTTGCAAACGATGTTCTACATGTAATAGTTTGTCGTTTCTTTCCGTCAAATACGCGGTAAAATTCTAGTTTGCTCAGTCTTCGGCTCATTGTTCTTCGTATTCGTCACCACTTCAGTACTGTACATGTAGCAACAATGTGTTCTGGCACTGAATTATTGTAGTTACTTTATCTTACCTCAAAGTCTCATCTTCTGCTTTTCCAAAGGCTTCTCTGCGCTGTTTTCATGCTGTTGCGATGGAGTTGCTATGGAGTTGCCATGGTGACCACACCCGATATCTTCGTCTGAGCTGCCGGACGGATGAAAAATGCGAAGTTTTTCCAAACCATGCTGTTTCTGCATTCATCTGGTTATTTTGACCTGCTTCCAGCGAGCCTGGTATTTTGCCACTATAGACACTGAAGCAAGTCCTACCAATTTCTGATATGCTGCTGGTGCCGTCGAAATACTGAAATTGCCGTTATTCAATTCTCCGACTTTGGATGGCTATATCTCTGTGCCAAGTTATTCTTTTTGCTTCAAATTTTCTGTGGAGTCTTCCTAAACCTATCTGAATCGGATACAAGAAAGAAATACGAGTATTTCTGGTTTTGAAAAAACCGCCTGAAGTGCCTACTACTAGCACTAGTACAGCGCTGGACAGATGGAGAGGACCTTGGAGTCGGACCACGGCCACGATTTTTGCAACTGCGCTTCCTCTGCAGAAAAGCATACTTGATAACTATTACTTGCCCCCACGTACCTACTTACTAAACCAAGTGTTGTGCGGAGCTTATCCAGGATACAAGTACTCACAATCGCTTTCTGACCGATCTCAACTGCAAGCCTGCGGATCAAGCTCTTTCGAACATCCAATGATCCTGGTTCACCCCCTATCTGTTTGAAAACCGGTGAGTTGATGTTAGTCTTTCATTCGCTCTGAAGTCTTCCTTCTGCCGGGCCGTGCTCTGCATGTTCAGACAAAAAACTAGAATTGAAGTATTAATTACTCTTGCACGTACAGGGGCGTCGGAAGGTATTTTAGTGTGGTACGGTCAGCCATCTGAAGTACAATTGACTCGTGGGGGAGTGGTGGCTGAGCCGAAAATTTTGGAATTTTAGATCCCAGATCAGTGTATTTTGTTGACTCACGGGTATCTGGGGCAAAAAGTGGTACGGTCAATACCGTAGTGACCGTACCATGTGCGACGCCCCTGACGTAGATCTACGTTCCGCAGAAGAACGTGCAGAGTGTGCTATGCATCGCCTTGTAGCTTAGTATCAACGAAAACGTAATGCTGTGATCAAAAGGTTATTGACTTATAAAACCCCAGATCACTTCTCAATGAGAAAAGTTTTCTCCGAAAACGAACTCATTTGTCAACAGCGCAGGCTGTCAGGATGGCTCTTTACAAGATTAGATGTCGAACCCGAGTATTCTACTTGAACATGTACACGTGTATCATGACTTTGCTACTTCGAAGTACAACCTTCATGACTGTAAACAATTGCGGTACTATTTTACTTACACAGCACAACATCGGACCAAGGTTCTATTGTTGCAACTCTGTTGCAAGATTATCCGCATGTTGCCTAATGGTTGAGCATGAATCTGAGAGCTTCTGCAACATAGCAGCCTTGTTTCACAGCAAATATATTGTGCGGTGCACATGTATACTAGGCTCAGCCCTACGCCATCAATTTGAGCACTGCCACACCACGGGATATACATATAACTATTATATCTTGGGTATTGGTACTAAATGCACATGTAATGCATCTCGTACTGGCATGTACAAAGTATGCTTCTGGTCCAGCAGCCAAACAGAGAAGCACAATAAACAAGGATAAAAGCAGAGCTGAGTAACCTTACACACTGGGAAGTACTTGATTCGTTGGTGGGCCAGGTACATCCGTTCTGAATCCACTAACCTCGGCTGCAACGCAACCATTATGACTTATAATCTTCTACGTTGAATGCGTACATGTTCATTGTATTATGATTATGTTCTTCTTGTATGCGAAGAGAACGCAACACGTCGGAGATTGCAAAATGAGGGCCACTGATGGCCGTGGATATCATGCCCAAAGGTGCACGGCAGCTGTCCTGGGCTTTCTTCTCTTCTCGCTAGTGGTGTGTAGTACGGCATCTACTATCACTGTAGCTTCGCCAACTGGACAACCAGCTCTGGAGTGTAAGTGTAAATATTTCCTGTTCTAGGACAGGGTCTGTGCCTCCATGAACAGCACAGTACAGCAGGCAAGTTCAGGCTCCACACACGTGGTTCATCATTACCAACAATCTGATTTGTGATCAAATGATCAGTCCAGCGGTTTCATATAAAGTAACATCACAGACATTAATTTTCCGCACAGCAGAGGCTTTTGAATGATACCAGCCAGGGTGGAGGGTCAGCGGATTCGCTTGAGGCTTGGCATCCAAACCAAAAGCCGTGAAATGCTGCATGGTTGCTTTGCCGCTCCTTAAAATAAAAATAATGTCAAGTGATGTTGTAATGCTGTAGTCTCCATAGTAAATATTCTGTATTCGATAGTAAAACAGTGGACCTGAATTATTATTTTTTGTTTTATAAGCCTCAGCAAAATTTCAGCCCTAGCCCGTCTTGATTATGCATATTCAGGTTCCTGTGACGACAATATAATTATGAATTTCATCATGAAAACTGACGGCGCGTTTGGTTGGTACGAACTAGAACAGGATTCGCCAGAACAGTGCGCTTTGTTGGGACTGCACCTGTTCTGGGTCGGCCAGAACATGTTCTGCTTGCTCCGGCCTTGAGGCCGGAGCAGACCGAGCAGTTTCACTTTTTCACAGTGAAACCTGGCGGGAACATCGATTTTGGTCCCAAATGATCACGTGCATACGCTTTTGGGTTTGACTTGTCGTACCGTACACATAGACCATGGCGACCCATACACATTTTGAAGAATGCACCGAGTTTGGCATATTTTTCACAAAATATGCTCTGTTTCTGGAGTGCCGTTTGGTTGGCATGAGGCTGCTCCATGTGCACCACCTGTTCGATCCTGTTCTAGATCGTACCAAACAAACGCACCCGGAGTCTTAGCAGCAACAAGACAGTTAAAAGTATGTAAGACAAGTTCGGGAACAAAACTGGGCAAAAATTTGATATTTGTTCGCTAATGGCCGAACGTTGCTGCTAGCATGCTGTTCCATCTTCGTCCCAAATAAGATTTTGTTGATTTCGAGCATCTAGAAATAAAAATAAATAAATAACCTCACGGTTTGCATTAGACTTGGCTAAAGTCCGAGTTTTCCGCATCCGTAGGAACGCCACCACCCTTCAAAAAGGCGCAGATGTAGCTTCTCAAGTTGTGAAATACGCATTAATAGAAATAGAAATGTAAGGAAAAATTTGGAGGCGTATCCAATTTCGAAAGAAAAGGGGTCAGCACCGACGAAATCCGCTCAGTCAAGTAAGCCAATTCGGTAACCGAACGTTTTCGTGGCCTTCTCATCATGGGTAAGTAGAGGGAATAATGGAAAAATGTCAAATTACGGCAACTTATAGAGTCACAGCAAAAGCTCTGTAAGTTGCTGTATAATAGCTATGAAAAGTATGAATGCCGCAGACATCACCACGCAACATGACAATTTGTTCAAGGTTTGGTTTTGTGTGTTTCCAAAATCGATTTTCACGCTCCGATCATCAGTGGAAATACGGAACTAAAGAGATCAAGGGAAAAAACAAAGGTTAAAAATCCAAAGAAGTGTGACACATGACGGGTAACTTGTGGTAAGTATTACAAAAAGTGAGAACTAAAATAAAGAGTAAGTGTGACAACCGGGCATGAACAGTGCAGAAACAACTCATGAACACGGGGTGCAAACTCACGAAAATAACCTAAGTGCTAAAACATGTTCTTTTTGCTTACACAAATCGGGCTTATGCGTACGAATACAAACAGCTTCAAGGACCTTCAACTGCTGGACATAACGGGCACGACACAGTACAGAGAAGTTGGAATCATCATAAACACTCAAACAATCGGGACGAGATAACAAATGGCCCAGTATCAGCGAGAATCGACCTTCGGGTGAAAATCATTTTTTTCAGAATAAGTCATTTTCTGCAACGGCAAAAAAACTCTTGCATCGCGCTCTGCATATTCAAACAAAAAATGAGTTCATCGCAACAATGAATGCTTTTGATCATCCCAATAGCAGGAGAGTTAGCTCACGATGGCCAGCTAGCTGCCATCCGGCTCTGCCAGAAGTCATTGGATTTCCTAGGCAGGAATCGTCGCGTCTGATAGAGAACGACGACAGTTTCCAGAAGATGTTTTTGTCGACCCGCAATTCCTATTTAGCGACGAGAATTTCAACTTGATTTAGGCGCTCCGCCAAAGGGGCTCTCTGCTGGCAATAGTACTTTCTGACATCTGAAAATCCTTGTAGGGCCCTTCTTAATTTAGTACAGCTCCCCTCAGGAGAAATACTCAACGAGGAGAAACTAGTGAGGCGACGGCAACAGAGGTAGACGAACTGAAACGCCCTGGATTAACTAGAGTCAGGACGAAAGAGCGCTGCCGCTAGTGACATGATCTGAATTTTCCCAGGCTCCCACACTGGACTCCGTGGTGAACACCAAACCCCTTGGACGGGGCAAGAGCTGAACATTGATTGATGAGCTACGAACTCTCTGCGTTCAGTGCTGGAATCATGGCGCACTGACGCGCATCCAGCCAGTTCCCACAGAGCTCAAATTTCACAGAGCTGCAGCAGTGATGGACTACCTCTAAATCGTGTTTGAGAATTGAGATGAAGTGTGGGGTGTTAGAATGTTGTGCTTGTGTCGTATTCCCTGTGGGATGCACAGACTGGGACTCCAGGTGTAGTTGTAGCCACCCTCCCTCCTGTTCTGCACTTCTGTGGATTTTCAGCAGACTTGGGATGGCGTTAAACAGTTTTCATTGGTATGCAGTGATGAGGATCAAGGCCATTCATGCTCTATGCCAGAGGTTGCCCAAGAGTTGTTTTACAACAAAAACTGGATGGATGATTTATTACACTGTCTATTTTTATTTATTTATTACACTGTAACACATAGTATTCCGATGTGGAAAACACTGTGATAAATTGTTGTATTTCCTGATATGTACATATGCTTGTTTGAGAAGCTTCTGGGTCATCAATATTGCTTTGTTCGGTCTAATACTTTGCCATGTGATCACTAGATACCTATAGATGACAACAGCAGAAAAAAGTCATTTTGTGAAAAATCACCCTAAGGTCCATTTCCGCAGATACTGGGCCAAATGCAAGTACACAGCTGACTTCTTACGAATTTCACCCTCAACAGCTCCATCACCTTCCCTGCCACCTGACTCCTCCTCGTCCGTTTTATCACCATCACCACCAGCCGTCTCATCGTCATCCGCCTCATCATCACCCGCCTCGTCGTCATCTGTATCCTCGTCATCCGCCGCATCATCACCCAACTCATATTCACCACCAGTCAGTCGTCTGATACCATCCATGTTCTCCTTCCTACGTCTGTCCCGTGCCACTGTCCTTACCTCATCTACGTCCCGAGATTGTGTTCCGTTTTGCCCTCGGCTTCCGGTCTCCTTCGATGCTCCGCATGGGCCTTGGCCATTCCTAGCATATATTTCGGTTGAATAATTCGCGGTCGACCTCCGTGGTCTCTGGACCCACGGATCAAGCGCCGGAGGGTGCCGCGGTGTCCGCACAGCCGGGTACTGTGTCAAAGAAATGGGCTCAATTTCTGTGATTGGCGGTACTGTGGTTGTTGCCGACTCCTCCCCAACCCCAGCCACCAACGGCACTGGTGGTGGCTCCGGTGGCGGCAAGGGCAACGGTGGAGAAGGCACATTCGGTTGGCTTAGTGATCCACCACTCTTCCTCTGCACCATGTGTTCGACTTGCTCTGGTTGTGTCGGTGGAAGAGGGAGCGGGTTCTTGCGTGGTCTTCCCCGCTTCGGGCGCTTCGCTTTTGCTGCGTCCGGCAGCATGTGAAGTGGTACATGCTGCTTGATACGTGCGCTCAGGTGACTACTTACCACAAGTTACCCGTCATGAGTCACACTTCTTTGGATTTTTAACCTTTGTTTTTTCCCTTGATCTCTTTAGTTCCGTATTTCCACTGATGATCGGAGCGTGAAAATCGATTTTGGAAACACACAAAACCAAACCTTGAACAAATTGTCATGTTGCGTGGTGATGTCTGCGGCATTCATACTTTTCATAGCTATTATTAAACTTTTATCTCCACGTAGATTATTAATTTTTTGTAAGTTGCTGTATTTTGACATTAATTTTTTCCATTACTCCCTGTAGAGGGGACGGCTCGATACCGGGACGTTTTGACAGCCAAATTTGTATAGACCCAAACCGATCATCAGCGTTGATTTTTCACTCGAAATATGTTTGTGGAAGGAAACTGGCATGTTGAAGTTTGCTCTGGGGCCAGAGTCAATCGAACTGAGCCACTCCTTTGTGTTGACCCATTGCCTCCAAGTTGCCCAATTTTTCGCTTCAAAAAAGTTCAAATCAGAGGTGGCTCCAAACCGGACACGTTTTAGAGTGCACGTCAAATTCACTCTGGGTCTAAAATTAGGTAATTGCTATCGCTTCACGACGGCCAGTACATAGTAACAATAAGCCTTGTGTGTGCTTCCATTAGTTTTGATTGGTATGCGGTGCTTTATTGGCGAGAGGCGAGCCGCTGTTTACCTGCGACAAGAAGTTGATTTTTCGAAAGTCGTAAAACTCAAGTCGCAGTGCGAAGCAA